CCTCACCAGCCCTCTCAACCCCCCTTTCCCCGCTTCGACCCAAACCGCACACTTCTGTGCACAGTGCACACTTCTCGAGCCATCAGCTGTGAGAGCGTGAGGCGCGCCGGTCTGTCGGTGCTCCGCGCCCCGCCCCGCCCCGCCCCAGCTTCCTATTCCCGACCAATGAATCAGACAGACGTGTGTTATATTTTCGTCAGGGCGAATATCTCTCTCTCACCCTGCCTCTCTGTTCCTGACGACTGAGAGGCTCGGTTCGGAGTCTATAGGGCGAGTTGCACGAGACAGTGCTTCTGTTGAAGAATTCTCCTTCTTGTATGTGAAATTATAGTTTAAAACTATCAGCTCAACCCTCGGCTGAATTTCGAAACTGGAGTTCGTCCTAATTTTTGGAAATGATCCCAAGAAGTGTTGTTATTTGTAAATGCGCGAGCGCGCATTGTCTACCGCAGAAAGGGGCAGAACCTCACTTACACACAGGAAAATGGATCCAACCATCTAACGGTTACTACAGAGACAGCCATAAAGTGATGGTTGAGGAAACATTAAAATGATTGTGAGAGCTAAAATTTGGTTCTATGATTGTTAATTTTGCAACCATATTATGGTGTCCCTAAGGCAACAATACGATAGTTGCCAGAGCTCTCAATTTCTTTGGGTGTACTTTGTGGTCCACCTACCGCACCGTGACTCGCACGGCCAGGATGGCCCCGATCGGTCCTGGTCGCCCGTCGCCCCGAGCGACGACCCCCAAAACAAACTCTCACGTACTTTCCGGACGTCCCTCCGAAGGGTCTTGGCGGCGCCTGGCTTCGGGCCGGCCCGTGCCGCGGCCGAGCCGCCTGGCACGGGACCAGGCTGCCACTCCATCTCTCTCTCTCTTTCTCTCTTGCGCGCGCGTCTAGAGAGCTATGCCCAAGCCTCTTAGTTTTGTACAATCCTTTATTACTTTGTTTCCCGCCAGGCGGCACCACCCCGGGTGCCGTTGCTGCTCTTTTGTCTGCCGAGACACGGTGAAGCGGCTCCGCGTTACGTGCACACAACCTAACCCAACCGCCCACGCCCGTGGGCAAGGTGCACTACTATGTTCACGATCACTGTCTAAATTTCACCCATCCACCGCATTTTTGCTAACAAATCGTCGAACAAGTGAACTCCGATGGCGATTGTCGCGTCCATTTGTGGAGCGTCACACCTGGTGACCAAGACGGGGGAACGGGGTCGATCCTGGACCTGTTATTGATAGTGCAAGCTGAAAATTATCATCAACACAATTTTACTTGATAACAACAATGGGATGATTTTCCCTTCAAAAACTTTAATGCAAACTTTAGTTGTTCTCGCCAACTCACTGTACCGTTTTTGCTTTCAGGTACAGCAGTCGCTGAGCCGGACAATATGGTAATGCATCCTCCTCGGTAAACGCGTGTCTCCCCTGTGTACACAACATGCACACGTCTGTGTGAAGTACGGTTGATTCTGTTGTTGTTGTTGCCCGCTGCTGCTGTTGCTGCTGCTGTTGTTGCTCTTGGCTGTTGGTGACGCTGCTGCTTCTCCGGAGGCCTCGGGCGCCTGGGAGTTAGGCAGCGGTCGTGCAGCCGTGCGTGGCGGGCGAGCCTACCCCATCGGGCGCCCTCCAGAGGCAGCCGGCAAGACGGGCAGCGCCAGTTAGTGGGCGGGGCGAGCCGGCGAGCGGGCGCACCGGCACCCCCCTGCCGCACCCCGCAGAACCACGCCGCGCCCCGCCACGCCCCACCTCGCCCCGCAACGGCCCTACCTCAACTCAAGCAGGCCTGCGGAGCCCCACCGGGGGACTGTCAAGATGTCACCACGCCAAGCGGGGGGTGGGGTCCCGGCCCCGCCGCGCCCGCCGCGCCCCGCCGGGCCACGCCCCAGAGGCCCAAGGAGCCCGGGGAGCCCCTAGCCATATTATTGCATTGGCAGCCTCCCGCCCCCCACCACCAGCACCCTCCCCCTTTTCTTCTCACCGGTTCCCACACGGCGGCAGACTCCCAGCCTCCTCCCCGCCCCCATCCTGCCCCTCAGAGCGCCTCGACAGCGTCCACTCGTATCTCATTTGAAGAAGAAGGTGAAGAAGAAGAAGAAAATGAGGAGAAAGAGAGAGTGAAGGCGTACACGCATGGGGGGAAGAGGGGGGAGAATGAGGAGGAGTGGTGGCGTGGCGCGAAGGAAGGAGAGGAACGAAGAGGGAGAACACGACGGTGACGAGGATGAAAACAAAGCTGGCGTGGCTCGGCCGGGGCCGGGGCCTGCCGGGGCGGGCTCAGGAGGAGGCCCGGGGCGCCGCCGAGCGCGAGGGCGAGGGCGAGCACCAGTGCCGAGCCGAGCAGCCGAGCCGAGTAGGGGCGGAGAGGAGAGCGCCTCGGAGAGCGCGCCCAGCCCGGCCACCAGCCGGCCACCAGCCCCCCGAGCACCAGCCCGAGCTCGCACGCCGCGGAGCACGGGCACGCGCACGCTAGCGCACGCGCCGGACCATGTCACGTTCGGGTCGCACCGCCGCGCCCGCGAGCGCCCGCCTGCAACATCGCGAGTGACACACGCACACACACGCACAAATACACACACAAACACACACACTAGCACTTTCGAGTGAAAACGCAAGAAATTTCCTGTGTCGATTTCCTATAGTCCTTATTTTGTGATCAGACGATAAAAAGTGGAGTGGTGCTCAAGACGAAGACGACGGCGACACGACGCTCCCTGGGATTACTCGCAGCTTCTCCAGCCTCTCCAGCCCGCCCCGGGCGGACAAGTCTCCAGCAGAAGTGCGCCCGGCCCGGCGGGCCAGCACAACCACCCGTCTCGGCGATGACACCCCGGTTCGTCGTCATAGGCAGTTGTTTCCATGTTCCATTCGCCTTGTGTGTTCTTCCCCGTCCCACCAACCACGGGTCTCCCAGTGGTCTCAAAGATATCGTGTACGGTGCACCGGCGGTGTGGTATCGGGTAACCTGCCTACCTGTGGCTGTTGTTTAATCTAGCCCCATCTTTTCTCCTGGGACGCTGAAAACTGGGCAAACCGAGCAAACAAGCAACCTGCTGCGAGATTATACCTGGTCACGAAAGGGAAATTCTAGAGCACCTTGCCTCGCTTTGACGCGGACAACCCCTGCGCCACTTCCACCAACACCCTTTTCGGCTACCACCCCTGCCTGGTCTTGTCTCTTCCCCCCAAGCCGCTCCCCCTCCCCACTTCGATACACTTCCGAGAACTTTGTAAACAGTAAACACGCGTCCTCCTCCCCCTCTTCTCCTATGCCCCCTCTTTTTCCTCCCTTGCGGCCGACAGTAATTCACGCAAAACGGAGAGAGGGAGGGAGGGAGGGAGGGAGGTAAGGTGATCACGACGCATCGCCTGCCCGCGGATCGACCGGCGCGCCCCACGAAGACGTCGTGCCCGGCCGTCAAAATTGTTTTACCTCTCACCGGAAAAGATTGGCCATTGTACAGTGAACATGTATCATTTCAGATTTACATGTATTTTATGTTCCAAAACGGTGCACACCCAGAAAATTGCAATCGGGGTGCAAACCTGCAGCGTCCGCTCTAATACACCTTGTTCACATCTATACTGAACCGGTGTTTTTTTAATGACCTTTTATTAAAGACTGCACTATAAAAAAATTCTCCTGCCGGGCACTAGACGGTTGTTTAGTGTGTCCTACTTTGTTCCTAGCACAAAAAGTTTAGTTCCCGCCACTAAAATTACTGTGCGTGGCTACAAAATTTTAAAGTTCGGCAACAAAACTTTGTTGTATAGTGTGTCAAAAACTTTTCGTCTCAGGACAAAATGTGTAGTGCTCAGGACCAAATAAATTTCTCACTGTGTCACCTGCTGCAATCAAGCAAGTTAGACTAGTTCCGTTGAGAGGGGACGATCTGTCCCGCTGCACGCTCTGTGCCGCAGGGGGAAAAGAAAAAACCCTTCCCAACATTGTATTCTTTTAAGGGCATTCACTTGACGCGTATATTTTCTCAACGTCTCTACTCTCTCTGCCTGCCGAGAGATTATGGTGCGCCGCGCCGGCCGTGTTGAGACTGTAGCCCCCCACCTCAAGCACAAGCCGCTGCACTCGGCAGTAAAGTCGCTTGAGGTACCTCAGGAGTACCCGGCCGGCCAAACATCCCCGGCGCTTAGAGAGGGCATCATTTTGTTTGTATCAATCTCGGAGAGCCCGGGGGAAAAGTGAAAGGGGGTTTGTGGGCAGGGAGAGGGGGTGGGGGCCGTG